TAGTATATCCATTCTTGTAGTTGAAAATTATGTCTAAAATTGATCACCACATAGGATGCTGGCAACTTGCAGGGTCGATGAGACATTGATTGCCATATTGCTTTTCCATCTTATTCACATCTTATGAATATATCTTTAACAATATAATTTAATATTTGTGTTTTCATAGGTAGGAAGAGACAGGATCAGATCGCACACCAGTGATGAAGACTAGGTAGTACCGTAGTAGGGTGTGGTAGATGAACATGTCTTTATTTTCTGAATCGCTTAATATTATTATATTATATTGTACTGACAATTAGGAGGTGATTGCTGATGGGTGATTCTAGATTCTTGAGTGAATACTAGCTACCATGTTATCCTAAGTGCTGTCAACTATTCAGTTACAAATAAAAACTCAAGAACGTACTTAGTCTACCACAAATTGGGATTTTTTAAAGATTGATCCTGACATTAATTGCCTCAAATTTAGTCTGATACATTTTCCTTAACCTGACACTCTTTTTAGAGTTAACCCAACATTTTTCTGTTACATTGTAATCAACTAACTTTGATATGCATGAGTTCAATGCTAAACAAAGGAGGCACACTTCTCTAGCCTCGAGGTGGTATCACTAATATGCGCCATGAACTATACGCAATTCAGGTTATGTGACCAGACACTATTTTATCCCCATCATTATTAGTAAGCAATGCATAATTTTTATTTGCTCATCGTCCTACTAACAATAACTTGTTCTGTCTAAGTGGTTATCCCTTATAGCATCAACTGCACCTACCAGCCTGAATGAACTTTGGCGACAATGCAAACTTGATGTTATTGCAGATGAAAAAAATATTGTAATGTATGCAAATGCAATTGTGAGTTTTCCTTTTAGAAACCCTTTTTCTGTTTTCATTTTTTCCCTGTCTGAAATATAATATATAAATAAAGAGGTTTATTATTCTTCCGTCATCTTCAGCTCATGTATATTTTATGTGTTTCTTACTTTCTTTTAACATTTCTCAATATAGTTCTTCTCAACAAATTTTCATATGGCAGAGCTTGGTCCAGCACTCGGACTCTCGGACTCAATGCTCTCAAGCTACTGGATGCAAATGGAGTGGGGCCTCTGCCATCTCAGCATCAGCCGCAGGACGGCACTACAACCAGCTAGCGCCATGGATGGCTCAAGGTTGCTTGTGATGAGATCATCAATCTCGAAGAAGGACAGGTTGAGGATATGGACCTCTTGGACGACAATGTCGTTGTTGTTGTAAAACATGGTGATGGTGTTTCAGTTGAAATAGGCAAGGGCAGTCAGCTCGAGGCGGCCCTTATTCAGGCTTCAAGATCGAGCCGCACCTTTATCGATGGAAGTCATATCCTCTGACATGAGTAACTTATTCCTCCTTATTCTATCTTATATCTTCCACTGTATTGACATAAAAACAGTGTCAGGGTTATAGACATGTATCGTTGTTATTACCAATCAGATCAGCGGTACAAGTCTTTTTTCCTTGATGTCTGAGTGTTTAGCCACAAGAGGCGTTAGAAGAGGCCGAACAGAACCTACCGAGCCTTCTGTCCGTGTAGTCTGCAACTTGACAAGGTTAAACATGAGATTCTTTTTATTCTGAATAATATCTATGGCAACATCTTACATTTAATCCAATTAGCCTTACCTTTTAATTTCCAATATTCCAGGGAAAGCAAACGGAAGCTCAGGGAACTGATGCAACCATGATCACACGCTTTGATGGTACTGTTCCTTATAAGCATGCCCTTTTGCTGATATGATAGTTTTGCATTGACTTCGTAAACTTTTATTGTATGCCAGCAGTTCTCTGACTATGCTTTAAATGAGAGTAGTTTACATCGCTAGAATATGAGCATCAGAGATTAAGAAGAAAATGGGCATGAAAGAGTTTTTTATAGTTGGTTCATTTGTTATATACATCTTTCATGTTCACTCTGTAGAGCGCCCTTGGGTAGTTACTTCGTTTGTGTTGCACAAAATACACGCTCTCCATCTGTCAAGGAAGCAGGTCGTAAATCAGCATGGTCAAGTTGTAGTGACGTGATAAAGGCAAAAAACTTTCACATATTTTCTGTTCCATTCACAATTATTTGAAGGGGCTGCTTATCAGTTTTTAATCTTGAAGCTTGCACGGTCACTAATATGACCATGCTATTTTAGAGTGATAACCTTCATTTCAGGTTGCAGGCTTCCGAAGAAACTTCAAGATTGCAAGATAGTGAAAGCTTTTTTTTGTGCAGTGGCAAGGTGAAATTTTATGGAAGAGACCAAGAGGAGTTGCTTCACGTGCTTAATCACCGATGTGTACAAATGCAGAAACAGTGATGAATACTTTCTCATGAATTTTAATTTTCCCCTCCAGCCACAACATCATTGATTCCTTGTATTTATATACACCTAAACTTATGGTTTTATCTAATTCTAAGAAAGGTACATGACAAGGTATATTTAGACATTAGAATATATATGTATGCCCTTGTTGCAATGCACGGACAATGTAATAATCTTTATTCCTTTGCATTCTTTGTCTGGTTTGTATTCGTGTTCCGATCACGATCCGTTGATTACACGTTTTATGTTTTTATTTGTAGTATTGCCATAAGTTAAACATAATGCTTTGCTAGATGTCTTATGCGGGCCAGAGAGATTCAATTAACACAGAGAAATTCAAAGTGTGGTTCGGGAGGGGATGGAATGGGATTGTGATCCAGATGCACCTGTGGTACATGTGGTCAGCTTCAATTTGTACTAGAGTTAGTTAATTAAGGCTCTATTTTAGTTTCAAGTTTTATCCTTGTTGCAGTAAAAAATTAATGTTGGATTATCCACCATGTACATCTTTAATTACTTTTAAATAAGAAATATAATCAAAATATTCTTTTGAGTTGATAAAATTTATATAATTTGTACAAGTACGAAGGTGGAACAGGAGGAAGGGTGGGAGAAGATTAGATATAGTTTAATTTTCTTGCAAGGCGAGAATGGTTACGAAGAAATGACAAGAAATGGAGAGAGAATCAGTTTTAGTTTTATTACTGTATGGATGGAAACCACATGCCAGCTTGTCCAACATATTTCTACGTTGAGTCAATTATTCAATCGCTATGTTTTTTTTATTCCATGGCAATGCATGGTCATTCAACTATTCAAATTTTCAGGTTGTTCATCCACTTTTTTCAAGCTATTTACATATTTGTCACTTGTCAGCAAGTTTGCATATGATGCTAGGAAGTGAACATAAGGACACATAAATGTTGCATTTTGAATATGAAATAAACTCAACATCCAAATAACAAATTCGTTGCTCTGTCCATCGGTGAGCAGGAAATGTAAGCATCCTTCTAAATAAGATATTACCTATCTTGAAGCTGGAAATGCAAGAATTCTTCTAAATAAGATATTAGTTATCTTCATGATGGAAATGCAAGCATCCAAAATTTACAACAATATTTCTAAAAACTGAAAACAATCTTGCAATCTTGATATAAGAATGAAACATAAGCAACATCACAGAGTTTGCTATTTCTTTTGAAAGATAATTACCAACAAGTGATATACAGGTGAACTTACAGTTTATTCAAATTGGAATGCGGCTCACTATACTAAAAAGGACAATGCCACTCACTCAGAGTAAAAACGGCCATCTACTCGCATTTAGCATCTGACCAATGAATATATATTGTATATGAGTTTTCTATTTTTTTATTTTAATATTGTTTATATGTTTACTTTTGTATATCAAAGATCAAAACTGATGGCTTTTTATTGACAAAGCTTTATGGTGAACCAGACTTTAAAATCATCGGGTTTTAAACAATCAGAAGAGATGCATACAAATAATTGTTCTTTATATATTTGTTGTGCATGATAATACAAAAGGTATGTTTCTATGCATATTTATTTTTACAGAGTATGAAAGAGATGGAGATGGATTATGTCAATGTTCAAAAAGAATCCATCGACAAGGATGTTGATGCGATATCATTGGAAGGGCCCAAAAATTCATTAAGATTTATACAACAAAAGGCCCGTGGCAACGCACGGGCATTGTACTAGTACTTCTAGAACTACACTTCGTGTAGCCACCAATGTTTTTGCTGAAGAAAGAATCAGTGCTCATCATCACTGGCTAATAAATGCTCATATATAAATATAGTGTTTTCTACTCCCTCCATTTCTAAATATAAGTCTTTCTAAAGATTCCAACAAGTGACTACATACGAAGCAAAATGGATGAATCTACACTCTAAAATATGTTTATGTACATCTGTATTTTATAGTCCATTTAAAATGTCTAAAAAAACTTATATTTAGGAACGGAGAGAGTAGTAGTATAGAAAAACAGATTTGCTAGCCCAACTAACACGCCATGATCAGGGTAACGTGCGTTGGTCATGACCACTCCCCTTAACGAAGGTTCATTGATCGAAGAGAAGGTTCACCTTCATACAAGCAGAGGATGAACATGGTGGGACACGTGTGGTACCTCGACACAGGAGTAAGCAACCACATGACCGACGACAAGGACCAGTATTCTGAGTTAAATCTCTCGGCTGGAGGCACGGTACAGTTCGGTGACGGGCGGACCGTTGACATCAGAGGGCGAGGCACTATCCTCTTGAGCTGGAGTACTGCGGTCACAAGGTGCTCACGGATGTGTCCATTGTCAAATCAGAGAGGAACCATATACATGCAACACCAGAGAGGAACCTAAAATCCGTTGTCAAATCCTGAGTTTAAGATGAACGGTAACATTAGTACGTGGACCACGCAAGCATCCATATTGCCAATGTATCACACAATAAATCCGCAGCAATATACCATTCAACTTGATAACCGCAACGCTGTCCTTAGTATGACAAGAATCATTCGAATTATTCCAATATAAGTAGTTTTGCGCTGCGTACAAGTACGATTTGAGCAAACATACGCTATGGCCTGGAAGACATATCACCAGAATGCCCAGCTATGTGTTGTATTTTAGCTCACAACATCGACAGACTCAAATCCCTTGTCAATGGAAGCCTTCACTGCATCCATCACAACCTGCGTCTTCCTGGTGATGGCCGGCCACTTCCCCTCAGGCTTGGCGCCGGCGTCTCTGATGCCCTGCACCAGCCTGCAGAACTCCTTGACCATCAGGGCCTCCTGCGGCAGGTCTGTCGTGACGACGTGCTTGCTCGGCTGCGGAACCCATCCGGTGTGGAGCTCGGCGAAGTTCGACCTGGAGGCCACGCTGAACGGGCCGGACTTCTCCTCGTACGGGATGATGAAGTCGGTGACATGGAGCGTACCGTCCGTGCCGACGACGGTCAGGTCCATGGTGAGGTTGGCGAGGAACGAGCAGTGGAAGGTGGCCATCTTGCCGTCGGCCCAGTAGAGCGTCGCGCCACAGGCGATGAGCACGCCGGCTTGGTTCTTGACAGGCTCAGGGAGCGCGATCACGTTCTTCGGGAGCTCGTAGTCGACGGCCCACAGGATCGCGCGGATGCAGTACCACCCGGCATCGCCGAGTACGCCCAGCGCGTCGAGGTCTGGCTTCACCCTGATGTCATTCTGGAGGAAATCCTCGTTTGCTCGGAAGCTGAACAGACTGTTTATCTGAAGCAACAGAAGAAAAAACAATGGTTTATAGAAGTGCCCAAATTAAGTGAACGCAAACAGTTGTGAAGTTAGACTCATATCAAGAAAGGAAACATCACACTGCTAGAGAGTGCAAACAGTGATTGTGGAACCATGCTTATACCGGGTCACTGTAATATTTGTACTGTATTAGCCAATCATGATAAGGACTTTCAAGGAATTCTAGAGGACAACGCAGGATGAACAAAATCTACAGCTCAATCAAGAGAGAAGTCCAAGAAACAAGACATCGCTGTCCCTTGAAGTAAACTAAGCAAGGATGGGTAGATGTCATATTAAATTATTACTAATGGTGTCACAAAATTGTTTTGAGGTACTACACGATGACAGGTTCGTCTGAGGTGTTCCCGTAGTTCCAATTGCTAGTAACAAAATGTTCATCTTCACTGTGCTCAATAATTAGACAACTGAGATATCAAAAGCTAGATGACGTACCGTGCTTAATAACAGCTTCATTGATTATTTTGTACATAGGATTCGACGAGAAAATGGCATAGGGATAGTTTGACGGAAGGAAACAATCGAACAAAACCTATATCTCAACTAAGATGATGGTATCAGGTGCTAGAAACACAATATGATTCGCTGCACATTCCCCATTGTCAATTTGGCAACTATATAAAGGTAGTTGTCGAATCTTGCCGAATGAAGTTTTCATCTCTTTTCTTTTCCATGTCCTTGGTTTCTGCAAACTGAAATTTGTCTTTTTCCTCTGTTATGTGAACATCCTAATTTCAAATTTTATCGTGACATGTGTTGTCAGTATAGGGTTGATCATTGTCAGTAAACATTTGCTCCAGTAGCGAACAATGAATTGGCTCTCCATACCAGATCGCATATTCATATAGTTTTTACTTTTTAGAAGAATTGTTGCAAAGAAGTGTAAGAACATTATGTAGCTATAGACAAATGAGATTAGTACTTTACAATGTAATTTTGCTGACCAAGTGATATTCCCTCACGCATACACTTTGGAACTAAATCCTTTTATCTTCCACCACTATGTCAGACAGAAATTCGGCATTCTTCAATAGGCAAAGTCACCACACAAACCAAATTCAGTAGCAGAGATTCCAAGCATACTAAAGTATCATGTTGTGCTGCTTCAGTGATGGTTGGGAGAAGGTTTGATGGTGAGTTTGTGCTTGCTGCTGGAAGGGGATACGAAAATGTTCAAAATCACTCAACAGCGGAAACACTTGCTTTCAGAGATGGGGTAACAATTGCAGCCAGAGAAGGGTGGCAGCAGATCAATGTTGAAACTGATTGCCAAGTGCTGGTTAGTATGTGGAAGTCTCGGAAGAAACAGAGGTCAGAAATCATGGGCATTCTCAGTCAGATTGATGAGCTCATTTTATCCTTCCAGGAGTTTGATCTGTCCTACTGACCCCGAGGGAGGCAAACTTATGTGCTTAGCATCATGTTAATGGTTGTAATTCTGGTGTGTGGCATGTCACACCTCTAGCCTTCCTTTAAGGTGTATTCAGAACGATCGTGCACTGCTGCATGATGAATAAAATGAGCTCTGTTTTGACTGTAAAAAAAGAAGTTTTTTGGCTACCAAAGGGCAATTAACTAGCCACTGCTGGCTGGATGCAACGACAAACTGCAGTTAGTTCAGAGTTATCTAGAGAATCTTTTGGCGCTTAAGCAGATGCAATAGAATATTAAGGCAACCTGACAAGATCCACAAATTATTGGTAATGTATCTCCATCTAGGCCGGCTAGAACACAAATGCAATGGACCTCATCAACAATCGAATAGTATTTATCTAGATAGTTACAGAGAACAAAAATTACAGCAAGAAATTCAGCTTGAAGAACTCACAACTCTGACGTCGCCGACGTCGGCGGGGAGGAGCTCGCGCATCTTGGCGGTGCGGGGGTGGTGCATCCACATGGTGGAGTCCATGAACTGGACGCCGCTGGCCTCGCAGGCGGCGAGGATGGCGTCGAGGTCGGAGGCGCAGAGCGCGGTGGGCTTCTCGAGGAGCACGTGCTTGCCCCGCGCGGCGGCGGCGGTGGCCCACTGCACGTGGAGGCTGGTGGGCAGCGGCAGGTAGACGGCGTCGACGGCCGGGTCGTCCAGGAGCGCCTCGTAGGAGCCGTGCAGGCGCGCGGCCGCGGGGAGGCCGTTGTCGGCAGCGAAGAGGCGCGCCTTGGCCTCGGAGCGGCTGCCGACGGCGGCCAAGGCGGCGGCGGGCGCGGCCAGCAGCATGGCCCGCGCGAGCTTGCGCGCGATGGAGGCGCAGCCCATGATGCCGAAGCGCACCGGGCGCGGCGGCTGCTCCTCCGGCGCCGGCGCGGGCGCGGCGGACGACATGGCGGGCGGGCGGGCGGCGTGGGCGCTGGGCGGGCTTGTGTCTGGGGTGTGTGGCGTACGACGAGTGACTCTGTGGGCTTTTTCGACTAGCTAGCCAAGTGCTCACCACCAGTAGTACCTGCAGAGTACCGACAGCCTCTAGGAGAGTGGATTTTTGGAACATGGTTGCATTGGAGGACTTTATTTTAAATAATTTTAAATCACATTTGAAATTTTGAAAAAATTCCGAAGAGAATTCTACATGATCATATGGATGTGGATGGATATTACACATGCGTAAAGTGAAATAAGTAAGCATGTGAGCTATGCAAAAATAGGAAATGACGATATCTAAATAGTGAATAATACATGCACTGCTTATCTTTTCAAAATCACGATTCTGTCATTCAGTGTGTAACTCACATGGTTACTTGTTTCAGCATCATAATCTTCACATGTGTAACATACATTCATATGAACATGTGGAGTTTTTTTTAGAATTTTTCAAAACTTTAAAATATCATTTTGGCACTGTTCAAAATATGGGACTTCAATGCACCCGTCCATCAAAGTGACTTTTTGAACCTCTAAGGCCGTTTAGTTAGTAGAAACATATCCCCAAAAGAAAACTACTCGTACAAATTGTACTTTTTTTTAACTTTGACGACCTTTATTAAACAATAGCGAAAAAACTAAATTTTGAACCGCATGAGTTAATCTATGGATCCGAGTAACCATTCGATCCCGCTCATGATCCTGCCTTCGACTTTTCTGCTCGCCCTTATCAACCACGCCCAGAATTACGACCGATCTTCTCCCATGATTTAAGGATGGTTCCAATTCTCATTAAAGCAGAAAGATTTCTTCCTGTGATTTAAGGACGGTTTTCAATTCACATTAAAGCAGAAAGTTTATTTTTTGTGATTTAAGAATGGTTTTCAATTCTCATTTAAGGAGAAAGATACACGCCTGATTTTTTCCATTTAAGGACAAAGGGATCGTATGTCTTTCTGCGGTAAAAGGATCGTCATAGGTGGGAGAACCCTCAACCTTTCCGCTGAGGATTGAGTAAGATAACCACTAGAATATTTAATCATTTGTCTGAGTTTACTAATTGAGATCTAATTTATAGACATGTGAATCGCGCTGAAATATCTGTGCATTGTATAGCATTGTATCAAAGGCGGGCTTGGTGAAAGAGATGTGTTGAGGGAAAATGTGTAATGAAATCTTTACGGCAACTTCTATGTAACACCATGGTAACTTTCGACCCCGGGATATGTTGTTGACAAAACATACCCTTAGGATAAAAGTTGTTCAACATCATACATCGGTAACTTCTGTGTACTAAAAAAAGCATGGTAATATACGCACAATAGATGATAACTTACTTAGCCCAGTCGTGGTAACTTTTTAATCCGGTGTAAAATTGTTGACCCCCCTGATAACTGATGTAAATAGTATCATAATATACATACAACTGAGTTGATAATTTACTTAGTCTAGCTGTGATAACTTTTTGATCAGGAGGGGTGAGGGGATTGTCGAAAGATCGATGTTATGCATAAGATAGCCTTCCCCCGATCTGTGGACGACCCTATCGATCACACCATCCACGAATAGACAAAGTACAACTCCAGCAATTTGATTGCTTTGTCGTCCAGAGATCGTTCACTAAACGTCGTGCGTGGAGTAGTTTCGTTGCTGAAAGAGCACCCCTGATAACTCATGTGTAAATAGCATGATGATATATACACAGCAGAACTGATAACTTAGTTAGCTTAGGCCTAGTAATTTTTTTACCGAAATAAGTTATCGCAACATACCAACATGAGATTTAGTTTCGAAGGTCTCGGTGCATTGTTGCTTTTATGCTAAAATGACTTTTCGATCGGACCAACGGTTTGAGCTACAAAAAATTTTGAAGTTTCGAAATAGGAGAATTTAGGATGACATCAACTTTTTTGTCCTCTAGTACAGGTATGTATATATCCATGTGGGAGAAGGTTGGAGGAACCATTTTCTATGCCCCGTTAATTTCTGTGTCCATTCATGATGGTAACTTACCTACCACAGACGTGATAACTTAATTAGCCTAGGTCTTGTAACTTTTGACCCCCCCAAAAGTTATCGAAACATATCGTTTTCATATGAGTTTTGAAGGTCTCGTCGCGACGAATCTTATGTGAAAACGATTTTTCACTCAGATATGCAGTTTGAGCTACAAAGTATTTAGAAGTTTTGAATTTGGTGGAATCTCCACTGACATCAGTTGTCCTGTATACATGGAGTCATGCCTTACTTGTTGCGGGTATGAATATATCTAGATGTATTTTAGTTCTAGATACATTCATTTCTGCGACGAGTAATTTGAAACGGAGGGAGTACTTAACTAGATGAATCGTTTGGATTTTTATCTCTAAAATTTAGTGGTTTGGTGAACTATAATCATGTCAATTACAAGAGGAGAAACTTTCCTAATCCCCTCTTGTAAGCTACTCCCTTCATTCGGAAATACTTATCTTAGAAATGGTTGTATCTAGAACTAAAACAAGTCTAGATATAACCATTTTTAAGACAAGTATTTCGGAACGGATGGAGTAGCTAGCTAGATAACTAACGGCTAATCTAAGCGAGCTGATGTTGATCCGTTCCTTTTTAAATTTACAAAGAAGAAGCTAGCTCACGTGTACGTGTAATAAGCTAGCGAGCGAGCGTTCATCACCTTTTCGCTCGATCATTTTCATTGTCGACGACTCGGCATGGCCCCAGAAGCCCCGCTGGACGTTGAATCCATGCCCATGCGCGGCGTCGCGCACTTCCGCGTCGACGACGCTGCCGTTCTGCTCCGTCAACCGTCCACGGGGATGAAGAAAGTTGTGGGAGTCTCACCCGTTGTCGAGGTTCTCATGACCAACAGAGCTCCTGGCACGGGTGAACCGTCTGCCGCGTGTGCTCGCGATGAACGGAACAATCAGAGCGGTGGGAGATAATTACAACTACAGTACCTGTACTATCTGGCACGTAACAAGAAGGTCCTGGCACTCGTGAGTTGCTCCAGTACGGTCCTCATATACGCAGATACGCTCCAAAACAGTCCTCCCTACGTATCAAGCTACGAACCAGGTTCGACGAGCCCCACGTCATCATGCGGGCTGGTCGACCGCACTGATTCTTAATTTGTAAATCGGCCCCTGCCCACGTGAGTGCGTCCAGTTTGAGCCCAACTGCTCCTTTCGTCTTCATCTCATCCTCCAGGCGACGGCGACGTATGGCGGCGCAGGTGATCGGCAACATCTAGGCGACGAGAGGCGTTCGTACCGGTGGGAGCTCGCACGGCGGCGACGACACGTTGTCCGCCGTGAATGGCGGCATGTGATCCTATACGGCGGCACAGCGGTGCCCCTTACCCAAGTATGGTAAGAAGATTGGATCACCATGGCTGCATTGGGCATGTTACTACCTCGATTGTCATTTACTAAGTCATTTTGGTGCGTTCTGCGATGCAATTTAGGAGATTTAGGCACACATTTGCTTTGGGTTTACACATATGATTAGGGTTCGATGTCCAATGGCTAAAATTTGAACTTTTTGTTGGTTTAACAGATGCAGGCACTGATTTCTGTATAATTGAGTTCATCCATGGTGGATCTTTCATGGGCACTGGTGGTAATCTGTCATATCTCAATGGTCGCAAGGTCTGCTATGATTACTGTGACAGTAGTGTTGCTTGTATGGAGATGTTTTATGAATTAGTAGAGAAGGTGGGTTATGAGACTGCAGGAAGAATTCAAATCTATTTGTTGCTGCCTGGGATGCAAGTGAATGAAGATGGGCTCAGGTTGATTGCAAGCAATAATGACACAAAATGCATTAACAAGCTAGTTAGAAAGGGGCACAAATACCTGATGTTGTATCTTGTTCATGATGTTGCTTCTGGTGGAGGAGGATGTGATGACGTGTTAGCAAATCCATGTACACAAGCACCTGATGTGATCAGTCCTATGAAGAGCAGGATAAATGTAGAAGGGACAAGCAAGAGGAGTAGAAGAGGTACAACGGAGGTAGACGAGGAGTTATGTAGCGAAACTGATAGCGAAGACTCGGATTATGTTCCAGAAATAATTGATAGTGACTATGACCTCAATGATGGTGACGATGATTTGATCAACGAGGATGCAAAAGCTTTCGGTGATGAGAAGAAAGGGACAAGGACAGGGAAGGAGCTAGTAGAGGATCCTAACTCCGAGGATGATAGTCTTGATCTGCCTGAATCAGATAATGATGATGACATTAAGTTCAATTTCAAACATTTCACTGAAGTTGATTTGAAGGACCCCAAGTTCTATGTGGGGCAGGTTTTCCCATCTATTGCATTGATCAGACAGGCCATTAGGGAGTATAGTTGTAAGGAAAGGCTGCAAATAACATTTCCCAAGAATGACAAGACAAGGATTGGAGCTGTGTGCAATGGTGGTTGCCCTTGGTATTTATATGCTTCGTTTGACAATAGAACCAAGGGAATTCAGGTTAAAACATTTAAAGATGAGCACACATGCACAAAGAAGTGGAGTGTTAAAGCATTCACTGCCAGATACATTGCTGGAAAGTATGTTGACAAGGTCAGAGCAGATGATAAGATTTCTTTGAAGGGCTTAGGAGCAATGGTGCAGGAAGAGTGGAACATGAAGGTTCACAGGCAGAAGCTTTGGAGAGCAAGGAAAATAGCATTTGACATTATTTATGGTGATGATATTGCTCAGTACAACATGTTGTGGGATTATGCAGCTGAGTTAAGGAGGTCAAATCCCGGTAGTACTTTTTTGTTGCAAGTCGCCGATGATGGTCAATTCCAGAAGTGTTACTTCTCTTTTGATGCATGCAAGAGGGGATTCCTTATAGCTTGTAGGCCTGTAATTTTCTTAGATGATTGTCATTTGAAGACGCAGTTTGGTGGAGTTTTGTTAACTGCAATAGGAATGGATCCTAATGATTGCATTTATCCCGTGGCCTTTGCTGTT